TACAACCCTCCTTCCTTCCCTTCTTCCCTCCCTGGTAAGCAATCTGATATAGGTTATGCACGTGCAATCATGTGAAACATTTCCATATTAGTCATTTTGTCTTAAAAGACAAAGAAAAAAGAAGGAAGGAAGGAAGGAAGGAAGGAAGGAAGGAAGGAAGGAAGGAAGGAAGGAAGGAAGGAAGGAAGGAAGGAAGGAAGGAAGGAAGGAAGGAAGGAAAGAAGGAAGAAGATAGTATAGTACAATCCATATTCAGACCACAACAGTTCTTTCTCTGGAGGCAGAGAGCATTTTTCATCGTGAGTACTTTGGGACTGTCTTCGTTCATTGTATTCTGAGTATAGTTAAGTCATTCACAATTCTTCATCATAAAATACTGCTGTTAATGTGTAAAATGCTCTTCTCATTCTGGTTTTCACTTTGTATCATTTCACGTAAACGTCTTTCCAGGTTTTTCTGAAATCATCCAGCTTGCAATTTCTTACAGAATAATGATATTCCATTACAATCATAAACCACAACTTGTTCAGCCATTCCGCAACTGATGGACATCTCCTCAAGTTCCAATTCTTTGCCACCACAAAAAGAGCTGCTATAAATATTTCTGTACAAATAGATTTTTCCCTTTTATTTTAATCTCTTTGGTATACAGACCTAGCAGTGGTATTGCTAGATCAAAGGGCAGTTACAAATTGTTCTCCTGAATGGCTGGATCAATTTACAACTCCACCAACAGTGCATTAGTGTCCCAGTTTTCCCATATCCCCTTCAATATTCAAAATTTTCCTTTTTTTTCATGTTAGTCAATCTGATAGGTGTGAGGTGGTACCTTAAAGTTGCTGTGATTTGCATTTTTCTAACCAATAATGATTATTATTAATTAATTAAAGTATTAATTGCTCACGTGTAGGCTGAGCCAATATAATACAATGATAATTATTCCTAAGTTAATCTACTTATTCAGTGTTATACTAACCAAAATACCAAAATATCATTCTATAAAGCTAGAAAAAATAATAACAAAATTCATCTGGAAGAACAAAAGTCAAGAATATCAAGGGAATCAATGGAAAAAACTATGAAGAAAAGTAGCTTAGCTATACTAGAACTCAAACTGTGTTATAAAGTAGTAATTATCAAAACAAGCTGGTACTGGCTAAGAAATAAAGTGATGGATCCATGAAACAGATTAGGTACACAACATAACGTAGTAAATGATCATAGAAACGCCTAGTGTTTGATAAATCCAAAGAACCAAGCTTGTGGGAGAAAAACTCATTACTTGACAAAAATGCAGGGAAAACTAGAAAACAACACGTCAGAAACTAGGGATAGACTAACATCTCACACCACACACCAAGATAAGGTCCAAATGGGCACGTGACAGACACAGAGAAGCTGACGTCATCAACCAGAAATTAACATCCCCTCTGTGGTACTGTATTTTGATTTATTTTGTCAAACATCATCCAACTCTACTTTAATATGGTTTGGACACACTCAGGAGTTTTGAGGCTACTTACAGCAGTGAGTTGGACACTTGTCTCTTAGACTATATTACAAAGAAATCACAATCATACGTATCTGATACTGGTTAAAAGGCAGAACAACTGCCTAACTGAACAAAATAAGTACACAAAATTCAGAAGGAAATAAACATAATTGGATCAGCTCACAAAAAGAATAAAAGATATCTACGTGGGTACAGACTTTTTTTAATTGTTAGTTAAATTGAAAAAGTCTAGCAGAAATTTGGTTTCCACTAACATCTCACACCATATACCATATATGACCTAAATATAAAAAGTCAGGTATTAAACAAATTAGAAGAGACTGGGAACAAGATATCTTTTATAACTCTAGAAATGTGAAGAAACCTTGACCAAATAAGGTATAGAGAGCTTCACAAGACATAAAATGCCCAATTTTAACTATATTAAAAAACATCATAAATCAATGATGTTAAAATTTGACATGACCTATGAACTTTAAAAAAAATGGCTTTAGGTTCAGATTCTTAAAATCCATCCACTGCTTAGATTCTTACAATCTAGCCAATAGCTCACTAACATGCAGACTCCTTAAGAGTCTGCCCAATATGACAGATGTTCTAATAAACCTTGTCTTTGGCTGAAAAAAAAAAGGCTTTAAAGTACACTTCTCTATAAAGACGTGTTATCCACAATATGTAGGAAATTTATTAAAATTTTTAAAAATCCCAGTAGATAAATGGTCAAAAATCAAAAGGCAGTTCTGAAAAGAATGTCAACTTATGAACCATATGAAAAATACTCCAAATCATTAATAAACTAGATGCAAATTAAAACAACTCTTAGCTTTCAGCAATTTGGAAAAGATAAGAAAAAAGGGAAATGGCAAATCTTGGGATATATGAGGGTAAGCACAACATACTCACCCGTCTTGGTAGAGCTGTGAATTGATTTAACAAACTTCAAACACAATTTAGAACTAAAGGTGAAAAGTCCCTAATGCCTGCATATCCTTGGACACAGCAAAACCACTCCTAGGTCTTATACTCCAAAGAGACCAAAGGAAGTGAGAAAATATATTCATGCACAAAAACATTCCTAGCAGGAATTTTGTTAAAGCAAAAAAAAAAAAAAGGCACCAAAGGGAGTGCCCATCAGTTAGGGCATAACTGAAGAAATTCTGGTTTATGGATGTAAAGAAACAACAGAATGTCACAAGAAATGATGGAATGTGGTTTGTTCTCAGGCATTCAGAGAGCACTTACTCGGTGCCGTGTTCTGAGGACACAAAGAAAAGAAAAGCTTGTCTGTGACCTAAAGGGGCTCAAGGTCTAATTGGGGAGGCAGTATGTAAATGATGATCCATACTGGAGGTGTCAGTCAGTAAACATTTATCAGGGGCCTGCTATCCTGAGGATACAAAGAAAGGCAAAAGATGGTCCCTGCCCTCAAAGAGCTCACAGTCAGATGGAAGAAAACATACAAGAAGAAGTTTAAAAGGGGACAGTCAGAGAAAGAAGATACCTGGGGGAGGAGATTAGCATGATGGAAGAGTCCAGAGAAGCAGAGTTGGAGGTGAGGAGACTGCTGACCTGGGGGCCCTCCTGCAATGGGGGTTCTGAGAGGGACTTCTAATCAGGAAGCCCCAGGGGCATAAGGTACAGAAGAGGTATATACAGTATGAATGAAAGGTAAGTTCAGACTGAGAAATCCCTTGTGCAGAAGGTGGGACTCGATAATGCAAAGCAAATACATAGAACCAGCATAGCAAGCTCCATACTGCTTACAACAGTGTGAGACTTTGAAAGACTCCAGAACTCTCATCATTACAAGGATCAACCAGGACTCCAGGAGACTGAGGATGATGGATGCTTCCCACCTCTGGAGAGAAATGTCTGGAGATCTCAAATGAGGTAGACATTTTCACACATGGCACTGTGGGCATTTTTTTTCTTTACTCTGCTTCTTTGATTTTTTTTTCAAAAATAATGATAATGATAAATTGTGGTTTTGCATAAATTAAATTCCCCTGTCTGGATCCCCCTCCCAGAGAGCCGGTCTTTATGTCCAAAGATGCAGATTTGTAGATATTTATATGTGGATGTGTATATATACGGATACAAACGTTAACAGAAGATATAGATAAGGGGATGGAGAGAGAGAGAGAGAGAGATGGACATGGACATAGCCACAGAGATATAGACAGACAGAGTTATGGTTACAAAGATACAGACACGGATATGGCTTGAGATAGAACTGTGGACATCGCTACGGGTGTGTCGACACACACACATACATGCATATACGTGTGGGGGGGTGGGGTTTGAACGCTGCTGTTCGGTCGTTTCACTCAAGCCCGTCTCTTCATGACCCCTTTTTTATTGGCAGGGGAGGTTTCTTTGTAGAAATACTGGAGTGATTTGTCATTTCCTTCTCCAGCTCTTTTACAGATGAGGAAACTGAGGCAAACAGGTTGAAGTGACTTCCCCAGGGTCACACAGCTAACACATGTCTGAGGCTGGATTTGAACTTAGTTCTTCCTGACTGCAGGCCTAGTATTCTATCCATCACACCACCTAATTGCTATATTTATAGATACAGATGTAGAATATGGATATGTTTAGAAAGAAACACAAGGGTAGGGGCATAGATATAGATTATGTATTGCTATATAGCTATCAATATTAATCTGTCCCTTCAACAATCCTCCTACCCAGTTGAGTACATTTTGAAAAGAAGGAGGAGGAGAGGGAGGAACGGGAGGAGAAGAAGAAGAGAAGAAGAGGAAGAGGAAGAGGAAAAAGAAGGAGGAAGAGGAGAAGAAATGGAAAATAAAGTCCTCAATATATCGATGCATAGCCTGATAAAAGAAATCCCCATGCTGATAACAGGACTCTGCTTATTAATTATCAGGTAGGATTTTTTAAAATCTTTTATATTAATTGTGATGTCAAAAAAGACAAAAGAAAAGGAAACATAAGAGCACTAATTATTTTTTTAAGATATTGAACTTTTTCCATACTAAAATAACTAGCTATACTTGATAGAGATTTAACATGCAAGCCTTATCTATCTTGCATATATGGAAATATCTGCAATTTTTTATCAAATTAATAATAATAATGATGATGATACAAGGTAATTGAGGACAAGCAGGGGATGCTTTGTTTGTTTGTTTCTGTCTCTTAGGCCCTCAGCATTAGGCCTTTCACCTAGGGGTCTAATAAAGTCTTGTTAAATGGAATTAATCCCATCCTTTCCTCCCTCCTCCATTCTCATTGGTCTGAAGTTATGTTCTTTTAAGTCCAACCAGATTTCTTTGGGCCAGAAACTTAATAACTTTCACAGTTTCTATAAAACTGTTAATAACTTTCTCAATAATTTATGATCCCTTGTATGATTTATTAAAATATCTCTAGAGTGTACATAATTTCAGTACATCATTCAAAACTGAAGTCTCTGCTATCTAATTACTCCATTTATACATGGCAGCCCAAACCAGACACTCACCTTTATCACCTTTGAAGTGATATCACATAAAAGCCGTTTGTTGAGTGCTTTGAATCTTTCCGGAAGCGTGAAATTCTCAATTACTTCTTCATCAGAAATCACATACCGGTCCAGGATTTTGAGTGACCATATACTATTGACCATCACGTGTCTATAACCTTTTTTTAGGCTCACTGGGCAGTCGTACAAAGTGAGGGCAATGAGGTTTGGGCAGGTGGATAATGAACACATATTTTTTAGTTTTACAAATGAATTATCATGAAGATACAGAAGTTTTAATTTCTTCATTTCACCCCAAAATTTCTTATCCGGCACAATTCTTATCTGAAATAACATTGAAATACAAAACTTGAAGTTAATTTAATAACATCTTTCCTTTAAAATGTGTAAGAGCAGCAATGCATTGGCTTACAAAGTATTCACACTTGACTAGCCTACATACACAGTACAATAAAACCATGGTTAATGAGAGCTTAGAGAAACTGGATTATTTTATTTTTGAGGGTGCAAAGCACCTTAAGCCTACTTAAGACTACTTAAGGAAACCCAAAGACCAAAAAGAAAAAAAATACAACTTTAGAAATTTTTCAGAAAGAATTTGTGTAAATTATAATCATTGAGAGTATGCAAAATTTGATCATTTCTGCCTATTAAAACAGACTTCTGAATAGAATACTAGTGCCAATTAAAAAGTGAGAAAATGGAGAAAAAATCAACAAACTTATCTTACCCTTTTTCTAACAGAGAATTTGAAAACAGAAGTTTCATGCACACACACACACACACACACACACACACACACACACACACACACGCACAGGTTTAGATAGGGAAACAGAGGCATGACTAAATGTATTGAAAAATCATACTTCATTTCTTCATTAGAAATCCCTTTTCCAGCGCACATTTTGAGGGATTACATATAATCAAGAAGCATCTTATTGAGCGGCTACTCTGGGCCAAGAACTGTGTTAGGTGCTGGGACTACAAAGGCAGAAAAAAGGCTGTCCCTGCCCTCTGGGAGCTTATCATCAAACCTGAGGGCAATCAGCTAAGGCCACAGTCTTGGAACATGATACAGCATCTATATTGACCCTGATGTCAAAAGGCTGAATAGGGAGAGGGCGCTGATAGTTTCTTTTACCAAATGCTAAAATTTATGGATGATACACCTGTGAAATCCTAATTTTTTAAAGGCAAAAACTATTTTTCTAAATAAATGGTCCAGTTGTTTGTGTTTTTTTTCTTTCAATTGCTCCTGGAAGAGCATCCCATGAGCTAAAATACCTGCTTCTCCAAATGCTTTAGCAAAGTAACGACAATATGGAAGAGATTCTGTGGTCCTTTTGCAAAAAAGAGAATCTTGGAAAACTGAATCTCATTTAAAATATCAAATTAAGTAGATGAAGGCTAATTATCCCAAACGGACACATGGTGAGCAGTTATTTCTTTATAATCGGTTTCAATGGCAGGCTTGAAGGCAATGTGAGAAAATTTAGAAGGCAATCTGACAAATGATACTGTACCTCTAAAACACAAAGGTATTGGGATGTAGCATATAGCCTCAGAGCAAGAACATCAGAGTGACCAGTGATCCAGAGCTCTGTGGAAGAGCTCTGGGGGCCCAGGCTACAGTTCAGATCAGCATCTGGCTAGTGGATGCACAGCCAGGGCGGGCACATGGCCTCCATCCCAGGGCACCCTGAGCTGAGAAGTGGAAGGGACCTCAGAGGCCAAGTCAGCCAGGTGAGTCACCCACCTCACTGGTAAGGAAAGCCTCAACTTCCCAAGCCAGTACCCTTTTCGTGGCATAAGCTGCCTCCAAGATAAGTACTTTCTGTAATCCACAAAAGCCTGATGGGCAGATGGGGGAGGGACGCCCAAGGCCAGAGGACCTGGCTTCAAGACCTGCTTCTCACACACAGTGGCTGCAGGACCTTGGAAGAGTCCCTGAAACTCTCAGTTTTCTGGGCAGCTTGTAGGAATATAGGTTGTAGAAAAAAAGGGTCCACATGAATTGGTAGGAGTTTTCTCTGGAAGTTCCACACATCAATGAAATCACAGGCCCAGTCCCTATTCCTGTGAAACAATAGGACATGACAGGCTAGGACAGGTGAGAGGGGAGGGGAGGGAGAGGCTTTAAACTTCTAAACAAACTTTTCATCCTACTTTTAAGTAAAGAATTAAGGATTCTAAATTAAGTTACTATATACATTGTTCACCTAAAGATGAAATAATTAAAATGGTAAGAGCCTAGAGTGACTTACATTTTAAAACAGTTAATGTAAGGAATATTGAGCCATTAAACATATTTACATTAAAAATTCTACTGAGCTAATATGTGTTTACATATATCTGCCAGAATTCCTGTTACCTGGTTTGAATGGAGATCCAATTTAATTAATTCTGTACAGCTGTGAAGTGGAGACATATCTACAATAAAATTCTTGGACAAGATGCATATCCTGAGGGATCTGGAGCACTGGGTGGCCTCCAGGGCACATAAGTGTGATCGGTGCAGACACAGAAAAACAGAATCCTTCTCGTCACTTAATTCATTTTCACTGTCTTCTTCCCTGTCTTGGGAGCTACTTCTTCTTTCTAACTCTTCCATGGAACATCTGCGGGTGGAGGAGACAAGGACAATTCCTTAAGAGCTGATCTTTTTCCCCAACTTTTAAAAGGAAATACATTTACAAAATTTAACATTTTGCTTCTAAATAAATATGGCACAGCATTGGTTTTGTATGAATAATAATAACATATAGCTAAAAGGGAAAGAATTAGGTTACAGTTAAGTAGACAGAAGGTATTTTATTACATAAAAGTAGCAGAGTAAAAAATGTACTGAAATTGCCTAGCACATTCTGTCCCAAAGAAACTTAAAATACCCAAAATCTTATATAGTTACATAAAAAAATTCCTGTCTTCCCAATTAAATGAAATTAACTCGAGGACAGAAAAGGGAAACTCCATTTAATTAGAAAACAAATTTAAGAACATTGGCTTGAAATAAAACTACTGGGAAATTTTAGGTCATATCTAGACAAGAAAAATATGAGGAAGGGAGGACTCCCCAGTCGCTTGAGCACAGCAGCAGTTCAGATGGCCCCTCCTAGATGTGTCCAAGATGTACAAGTACCACATGACTGAACACAGAAGCAGAGGCAGTAGTTGATAATTTTTTCAATAAACTTATTCATTTACTTTTCACATTCTTTTTTAAAATTTTGAATTCCAAATTCTCTCCCTGTCTCCCATCCCTCCCTCACCCACTGCAAAGGTAAGCAAATGATACAAATGACATATGTGAAATCATGTAAAACATTTCCATTGCAGCCATATCACAAAAAAGAAAATGAAGAGAAATCAAGATCATTTGACTTCAATCTGCGCTCAGCATTCATCAGTTCTCTGTCTGGAGGTGGACAAGGTTTTTTGTCATTAGGCCTTTGGAATTGTCTCGGATCACTGCACTGATCAGAACAGCCAAGCCTTCCATGGCTGATCATCACGACAACATGGCTGTTACTGTGTGCCAGGGTCTCCTAGCTCTTCTCCTTTACTTATATCAGTTCACACAGCTCCCGCCATGTTTGTCTGAAACCACCACGCCCTGTCACTTCTTACAGCCCAAAGTACTCTATCATAATCATATGCCACAACGTGCTTAGGAAACGTCCCTTCAATTTCTAATTCTTTGCAATCACAAAAAGGGCTGCTCTAAATATTTTAGTACATATAGGCCCTCTTCATTTTTCTTTGATATCTTTGGGATACAGACCTAGCAGTGGTATTGATGGGTCACAGTTTTATAGACATTTAGGCATAGTTCCAAATTGGGCTCCAGAATGGTGGGACAAGTTCACAACTCCACCAACAATGCATTAGTGTACCTCTTTTCCCTCATTCCTTCTGGCATTTGTCATTTCTGAGAGGTGAGAGGTGTACCTCAGGGTTGTTTTAATTCGCACTTCTCTAATCAATAGTAATTTAGAGCATTCTTCTTCATATGACATTAGATAGTTTTGATTTCTTCCTCTGAAAACTGCTTGTCCATTTCTTTGACCATTTATCAGCTGGAGAAGTGCAGTTATTTTTATAAATTTGACTCAGTTCCTTATAAATTGGAGAAATGAGGCCTTATCAGAGAAACTTGACTTAAAAATTGACTCAGACTCATGCCCTCTGTGTATGTAACTACCCTAACAATAATGTTCTTCTCATCTCCCCATATAAGTAGGAAATAAAAAAAAAAAAGATCAAAGACTGAACATTGACAAAGAGAAGACACAACTGTTCCAATCTGCTGACACCTTGATGCTTTAACTAGAAAACCTCGAAGAATCAATAGAGAGTAACAGAGACAACAGCTTCAGTAGAGAATACAAAATACTTTGAAAAAAAAATCAGCAGCATTTCTATACAGTTATGACAACATGCAGAAGGACATAATAGGAGGGGAGATCCCATTTAAATAACTTCAAAATGTATACAATATTTGAGAGTCAATCTGCTGAGACTCTCACAGATTCATATGAATATAATTGCAAAGCAAACCGAACAGTTGTGTGTCTCCTCTTTACCAATGTTCCTGCCTTCCTCTTTGTTTTGTCTTCGGCCTTGGGTTATCTCTAGCATTTCTAGAATTACATGGAATAACCTGGGGGGAGGTGGGGGAGGGGGAATTCTGGCTTTACTCGTATTCATTGAGAAAGCTTGCATAAGTGTTTTTCCCACTGTAAATACATGAATGAACATGTTTTTTATGTCAATATTTTGTAGGTACTTTTTTTTTGCATTAGTTACTATTGTATACTGTCATAGGCTTTTTCTACATTAATCAAACTGCTGTTGGTGTGTTTTTAATATAATTGTCTATGTAAGTTATCTCTGTGTATCTTATCTTCAAGGCTGGTTACTTTGGCTTATATAAAATTCATCCATCCTTTAAACAGTGATGACTTCTTTCACCAATTTTTTTCTCTACTTCAGAATTTTTATTGCCAATCAATTTGTCTCCCCGTTGGAGCATCTATTTTCTTTGCAGAAATTCTTCATCCTCTATTCAATTTCTCCTGCTTTGTAGTGTGTGTTTGTGTGTGTGTGTGTGTGATAACTTTGTATTGGGAGCTAATTTCTGACAGTCATTCATTTCCTTTAAGTGGTCTATTTTTCTTTTGGAACTATTCTGGATTTTCCTGCTGTTACTCTATGATCTCTGGGGGTTCCAGAGATTTTATGCTCAATTTCCCGTTAGAGTGTAATGCTTGATCACTCTATTCTGGACTTTGATGCTTCATTCCTTCTTTTTTCGGTTTTTGTGATCCTCTCTGGTGGTTTACCTCCCAGTGAGCTGGTTTTGTGCTGCTTTTTTTGTCTTACATGTTTCTTCTTTCATAACATCTCTTGTATCCCAAAGACCTTTCCTTGAGGTTTCCTCCTCAGTCTGTGGTGTCTCTCTCTCAGTGCCCTGTGCAGATAATCTCCGAGGCTGCCTATGTTGCTTTCCAGCAGTGTGATGCTGAAAGTCTCCCAGTCCACAGAGCTGGCCGCAGCTAGGTCATCATTTACCTTTCCCTTTGGGCACTGAAGGTCTCTTTCCCTCTGGCTGCCTCTGGGCAGTGAGCAGCTCGTCTTCCCTGGAATCAGTTACCAGGCTGGTTTATTCATTCTGCCTCTCCACAGCTCTCACTTCTGCCTCTTCTCTGCTGATCATTCGACCAAGGTTGTCCAAGTTCTCATCACCTCTCACCCATGCTATTGCAGTGGCTTCCCATTTCTTCCTTCCTCCCTAACGGCTTCAACATCAGTCGTCCTTCAGCACAAGTCTGTCCCTACCCTGCCGGGCTCTCACTGTCTCTGGGAGAACACACAGCCTCTTCTTTTTGGCGTGGAAGGCTCCAGCCCAGCACTCTGGCCCGATGGGGCAGGATTCTCCTCCGCACCCTCCACGTTCCAATCCAACGGGCCTCTCCGCCTTTTTCTGCACACAAAACCCACCGTTGCACCCCTGCACCTTGATACTTTTCCAAAGGCTTCTTCCCACGCAGAGAACGTTCTCTCTTCTCACTCCCAGTCAGAAACCACAGCTCTCCTCATGCCTGCTCTCAAGGTTCACTCCAGGAAGAGGCCTTTTCCAGTTCACCAATTCTTATCAGTCTGTATTTATTTTTTAAATAGCTTGCATTTACTTATAGAATATAAGGACTTTACAGTCAGAACTTCTGGATTTGTTTCTCTAAGACCTAGTACATGGTCCTGGTATGCAGAGTCAGGAAGAGCTGAGTTCAAATCCAGCTTCAGCTACCTACTAGCTGACAAATCACTCACCTGTAAAGTGGAGATAAAACTAGCACCTGCCTCCAAAGGTTGCTGTGATGCCAACAAGTGACAACATTATTAGGCGTTGTGTACACCTGGATGCGCTCTATAAATGCTGATTGTTATTATCCCATTTGCTGTTTAGTCATGACCAGCTCTTCACAAGTCCCTGGATCATAGCACGCCAATACCGTCCGTGGGGATTTCTTGACAAAGATACTGCAAGTGGCTTGCCGTTTCCTTCTCCAGTGGATTAAGGCAAACAGAGGTTAAGTGACTCGTCCAGGATCACCCAGCTAGTAACTGTTTGAAGCTGGCTACGAATCCAGGTCTTCCTGACTCTAGACTCAGCACTCGATCCACTGAGCCATCTAGCTGCCCCTTTATTATCACACAGTAGGTGCTTAATGAATGCTCACTGGTTTGGGGAATGGAGGTGTCCTTTACTTTGTCACACCACAGCCGAATCCCACTCCATTTTGTGCCTGGGAGCAGGAACACTTCTCGTCAAGCTCGTCTGAAGCTTGTGTAACAAACACCACAGGCTCTGAAGAAGATCACACAGAGCCGGATTTGGGCACTGCCACTCCTATTAAATGTCGATAACTTTACTTGGAGAAATTGCAGGTGGATGGGTAAATGACCAAGCTCAGAAGGAGAGTGGGTGCAATCACAACAGCCTTTTACAGACAGCACGAGGGCTGCAGTCACCAAGAAATCCACACCACTGCCAGGAAGCCTCTCTTAATTCAACGTGTCCACGAGGACACACTGCATCATTTTCACGTCATCTTACACTTTTAATCACTCTGTGAAAACCAGGCCTGGGCAGAAGACGGTGCTGCCCCTTAGGAGAATGTCAGCCTGGCTCCCAGTAGGAGTCTAGGACACTGAAGAGAATGAAGACAATAAGAATTAAGGAAGAGCACAAATCCTCTGCGTGCATATTTAATTCACTTTGTTGCCTAGTGAGAGAGGATGAAACATTTGTTGAAGAAATTGCTTCGATGGCAATAGTAGCAAGACATGGCAGGCCTTCCCCAGGCCTCTTCAACAGGAGGAATGCTAACAAACTATCACCTAGAAATATAAACTTATTCATATAAATATTATCCTTCAAGGTTGATGCGCATTCAATTCCATTTACAAATCAGACTTGTGGACTCTGACATCTAGAACTCAAAATATCACATTAGTCACTGAGGTTCTGTACAGTAATCCCTATCTCCTCTCCCCTCACCCCCATCCCCAAAAGCCCAATAGTCACCTCAGGGATTGCATGAAAAAAGGGGATATATCACAGACATTTAATTGTAAAAGATGGTGTGGTGCGTCGAAATATATTTTACACGTGTGAAATAATTCATATTGGCAACGCAAATGAAAAACATTTACTAACTGCATCCTTAAGTACACAGCACGGTTCTCAACGCAAGGGAAGATAATGACAGTTAGATATTTAATGAATTTAAGTACAACCTAACACAGAGATCAGAAATACACCCAGGTGACTGCAATACAAAATAACATCCTCAGAAGCATCAGACGCATATACACCATCCAATTAATCAAATCAATAGGGCAGCTAGGTGGCGCAGTAGATAGAGCACCAGCCCCGAAGTCAGGAGGACATGAGTTCAAATTCGGCATCAGATCAAACACTCAACATTTACTAGCTGTGTGACCCTGGGAAAGTCACTTAATCCCAATTGCCTAAAAAGAAAAAAAATCAATAATCTGTAAAGAGCAGTCAGCACAATGCCGGCGATATAGTAGATGCTCGATAATGTTTTACTGATTCACCAAAAAAGTAGTTGGAGCTAGACCTGTGATTTCATTGGCAGAGGAGAAGCCCTGTCTGGCCATCAGAGGTCCCTGCACCTTTTTAGTCTTAGAGACATTAAGAGGCACCACTGGTATGCATCGGAGGCAGATCTTGAACCCAGGTCCTCCTAGATCTGAGCCCAGGCTCCCTCTCATGAGAGCATTCTATGTGGTGACTCAGCCACTTCACTGTCATCACCAATATTCTGGAAACAGAAGATGCCCCAATTCGACAAAATAAACAATTATCTCATACTGAGATCAGGCGCAAGGTTACGAGAAGGGTAGAATTGTTCTTTGAGTTTCTTAGTCACAGAAATGAAAACAGAAAATGATAAGATTTTAAAGTTAATATAAATAACTCCTAAATGATTTGAAATATTAGCTTTTCTAGACATATCCTGACTGCTTTTAGACAAATGGTCTTTACAGAATCACTAAATTACATTACATTCTATGTGGATAACACTATTAAAGCTAGACCCATAAATGCAGACTTCACTCTAAGTCTGTATTTAAATGGTTCATAACTACAGGAAAGAAATTTATCTTTGAGATGTTGCTAGGATTCATTTTTCATCAGTTTCTCTCTTTTTAGAAAACTTTATTCTCTAAATTAGCAATTTTATTGAAATATCTGTGTTCAGAGGCTTGTGGAAAAGATACAATTATTTTCAACTTCAATTTTTATTTCAAGCACGTGGTCTGTAAAAATCACAAACCAAAGTCAACTACAAATTAATTCAACTAGAAGAAAACGGAGCCAGGAATCAAAACCATTCAGTGGGGCACACCCAGTGGATGCAGAAAGCTGGGAAGCTCGCCACAGGAGAGCAGTGAAAGAGCGGGCCTGGAGCTCTCCACTCCCTCCTTCTGCCACATGATCCTGGGCAGGGCTCCTGCCCCAAAGCTCCCCTTCCCTCTCTCCTCGCCAGAACCTTTTACCCGTCCACCTCAACCCTACTCCCACCCTGCAGACCTGCTTCTCCCCAGCTCTCCCCCTTCCATCACAGTCCTGTCCCAGCCCACCCCCGTCTCGTTCACCAAGGATGCTGTGTGTGTAACCACACGTATCCTTGATGTCACCGCCTCCACTGAAGCAGAAGCTCCGTGAAGCAGGAACTGACTCATGAATCAGTGTTCCAGAGTGCGGCACAATCTCTGACATATTAATAAATAAATACTTGTTAACTGATTATAAGCGGAAGGCGAATAAGCATTTACACAGCACCTCCTATGTGCCAGGCACAGTGCTAAGCGCTTTTGATAAACATCCCAAGTGATCTTCACAACCACCTTGGGAGGTCAATGCTACATCGCCCCATTTTACAGCTGAAGAAACTGAGACAGAGAGGAAATGACTTACCCAGGGTCACACAGCTAGACAGCATCTCAGGCCAGATTGGAACTCGGGTCTTCCTGACTCCAGGCCTGGCACTCTGAGCACTGTGGCGCCCACCGTCTCATAAGACCAAAGACACAGCTGGAAAGGATTTCTGAGATCAGCTAATTCAACTTATTTTATTGGTGAGAAAGGAGTCCCAGAGAAATTGAGTTACTTGCTGGAGATGACACAGACAAGTGGCAAAGTCAGCACTAGAACCAACCCTAGGTGCTCTGCCACCAAACCCAGCCCTACTTTTCTTTCCTACTTAGCCAATTCTATCATCTACACTCTCCTTTACCCTTGACTCCCAAGGCCCCTGGCCTGGCCATCCACTCACACCCTGACAATCCACGGCTGCCTGTATTCTCACCTAAAGCCCCAGCCTGCTGAAAGCCACTGGAAGAGCTCACACCACAGTGCCAAAGGGCAGCTGCCAATTCATTTTTATCCACTCCTCCTGGGCACTCACCAGCTCATGGAGAGCTTCTCTTCTTCTGTGGTTCTCTATCCATTTCCCTCATTGCCTTTTCCAAATCTCTTTCTCTCCTTGATACCTCCTCCAATGTCTTCAGTTCCCTCATTCCATACCTCAAAACCTTTCTACGTCTCCATCTTGATTCTAGTAGACATCAAGGCCAACTCCTCTTTCTATATCCTCAACCCCAAATCTCCTGTCTCCCCCAAGACCTTGTCCCATTCATCACTTATTCTCCCTCTCCTACAGAATCTCTCTACCCTTTCCCTCCCCTGTCTCCGGTTTCTCTTGGTTTCAATAGATAGATAGACAGACAGACAGACAGAGAGACAGAACTGTCTCTGGAGTGTCTTTGAGTTTCTGTTTCTCTCTCCCCTTCCCCCCTCTGTCTCTCTCTGTTCCTTTCTCCCCTTCCCCCCTCTGTCTCTCTCTGTTCCTCTCTCCCCTTTCCCCCTCTGTCTCTCTCTGTTCCTTTCTCCCCTTCCCCCCTCTGTCTCTCTCTGTTTCTCTCTCCCCTTCCCCCCTCGGTCTCTTTTTCTTAGTTTCTCTCTGTGTGTCTCCTTGTTTAGGTTCCTGAGTCTGTCTTTCTGTCTCTGGCTAGCTCTCTCTGTCCCTCTGTCTGTTTCTCTCCCCTTCCCCTCCTTCTCTTCAAGTACGTTTTTCCCCATAGGCCTGGCAGGGGTGGAGAACGTGCAGCCTTGAGGCCCTACCTGGCCCTCAAGTGCAGCCCTTTGACCGAATCCAACCTTCACAGAACAAATTCCCCTTAATGAAAGGATTCGTTCTGTCCACTTGGACTCAGTCAAAAGGCCGCACCTGAGGACCTAGAAGGCCACCTGGGGCCAGGAGGCTGCAGCTTCCCCAGCCCTGGGCTAGGGGCTCACTCTATCATTTATTAGGCACCACACGCTTCATTTGACCCTGATGCCCTGAGTGCTCTTACATTTCCTCCCTTTCATTGCCAGACTCCTAGAGGTAAGTATCTACACTCACTGGGCCCATGTCTGGGGCCAATGCTGTTGGTCATTAATCAACAGCCAAACCTTTTCTCACCCTCCTGAGTTCCTGCAAGTTGCAACAGCTGGCCTAGTCCCCGTCCCCTAGGCTGCCACCCACCTTCCTCACTGCCCCACAACCTCCTTTGCTCAGACACTGTCTAACTCCTGCCCCTCCTTGGGACCCAGTTCCCAGGACAGGTTCCAGCCCTCTTCCTGCCAGTCTCTAACCCTCTCTTCCCTTAAAGAAGGAAATGGTGGACTGGCAAACAAAAGAACCTAGCTTTAAATCTCAGCTGTTACTTAGCAGATGGAAGGCCTGGAACAAATAATTTAACCTCCCCGGGGCTCATCTGTAAATAAGGCAGTTGGGCTGGATGGCCTCCGACCCTGCACCTCTACATCCGGGCTCCCAGAAATCTAAGCAATCAATAATAAACTCTGCAGAGGACCACAGATGAAACATGGCATCAACCGCCTGACAGAGCACTGACAATTACAACTAAGACACACAGTCCTGAACACGGCGAAGGACCAGAAGTCGTGTTGCTGGATTGTGCATGTCTTATGAGGTCAATACACATTTACTAAGCGCCTTGGTCCAAAGTGTCTCACATCGAGGATTCACCGGAGCCTCACAACCAGCCTGTGCAGGGGCTGAGAGGAGCACAGTGAGTATCATCCCCATTTGGCAGATCAGCAAACTGAGCCCAGGAGGTGAAGGGTATAGAAAGAGTCCTAAAAAGAGCGTGCGCCAGAGGCAGGATTTCCATCCCACTCTAGAGAGTCTCAGCCTTGGTGTCAGAAAAACTCGGGTTCAAATTCTGACTCAGAGACATACCAGGTGTGTGTCACTCATAACAACGAAGATGACGACAACGCTGTCTAGCATTTCCACAGGACCTTATGGTTTGCTAAGCACTTTAGGAGTATGATCTCATTTGATTCTCCCAGCAATCCTGGGAGGCAGGTGCTATTATTACCCCCATTTTACAGATGTGGAAACCGAGGCAAAAAGCAATGAAGTGATTTTCCCAGGCCCTCACAGATAGGAAGTGTCTGAGGCTGGATTTGAACTCGGGTCTTTGTGAGTCCAGATCCAGGGCTCTAGGCACCACACAGCCTAGCTGCCTGAATAATTATGTACGTGCAGACACCCTAAGCCTCAGGGTCCTCATCTGTAAAATGGTCACGAATAGCAGCTACCTCAGAGGGTTACCGGATCAAATGGGTTTAAACAGTGAATATGCCTTTATTAAGCACCTACTGCATGCCAGGCGCTGTGGGCCAAGTGACGGAAAGCGCTTCGAGAACTTTAAAGCGCTACAGAAACGTCAGTTGGGGAGGCAGTTTGCTTCAGGGGCTCTTGGGGGCTACGCAAACTTCCTCTTCTGGACCTAAGGCTCAGAGGGGGTCACCCCAAAGCCCACTCACCAGGCTGGCAGGGCAGCGGGGCTGCAGGGTCGCAGACAGCGAAAAGAACGGCCGGAAATGTCGGCACCAACTCAGAGCCACCTGCACCAACTCCCAGGCCGGCCGCTTCCGTGGTTGCTATGGACACCCGCCCTGAGTCTGCGCATGACCTCTGGCGGGGGTCAAGGAGGGGCGGGGCTTCGAAGACGGCGAATCGCGAAAGCGGGGCATCGCGCGAGGGGCGTGACCGGCCAATAAAAGCCGCGCAAGCGTGCTGCTCCGGCAGCCCCGCCTCGTTCCACCTCCCCAGCGGCGTGACGATCATGGCGGCTGCGGAGGCCGGGCCCGGCACGGTGCTGCGCGAAGCCACCCAGCGCAAGCTGAGGAAGTTCGAGCAGCTGAGAGGTATGGGGGCAGGAGGCGAGAGGGGCGGCAGCCTGCTGCAAGCAACCTTGGCTTCTAGGAGGGACTTCCGGGTGACGAGGAGGTGGGGCCTGGGTCTGTCGTCTGCACACTTCCGGAATCCGTTTGCTCTCCACGCAGGGGCGAGAACGGCGCGGTGACGTCACACCTAGCCCACTTCGGGGACCTCCAAGGCCCCAGGCCAACTTCGTTCAGTCACCTGGCTCTTATTAAGCGCCTGCTCTGTGCAGGCCCTTGTTAAACACCTGCTGTGTGCAGGCGCCGTGCCCTGCATTGGAGATGCCAAGAGAGGCCCTCGGGGGGAAGAAACTGGGTGGGGGGGAGGGGTGTCTGCCTCGTCCTCAGCGGGGAGGGAGGGACCCTAGAGGTGAAGTTTAGAGGGTTTGCGGAATGGGGCCCGCCAGCATTCATGGAGAGCCTGCTGTGTACCCGCGGGGACCGGGAACAAAGAGAGACTCCGTCCAGTAGGAGAGGATCCTGTTCGCAGAGGCGGCAAGGCCATGGGGGCGGGGGTCACTCAGTCAGTCAACAAACACTAACATTTATAGAGCACCTACTGTGTGCTACGCACTTGAGACCTGTGATCTCCCTAGATCCACACAAGAGCCCTGGGAGGCAGGGCTGTAAAGAGCCCCATTTTACCGATGAGGAAACTGAGGCAGATGTGATCTGCCCAGGGTCCAACAGCTCCTAAGTGTCAGAGGTCAAATCTGAACTCACGCCCAGGGCTCAACCAGCGTGCCCTCCCAGCCCCAGCGATCTGACGGTCTCGTGGGGAGGGATCCTACAAGCAAGCCTGGGTAGGAGGACATAAAGCGGAAAGAATCCACAGAGAGGCCGGTCCAGGTGTGGAGTGACCAGGAAGAGAGCCAGTGTAGAGTGTTCTTGGAAGGGCGGGTGACTTTTGGCCTCCCATCCGCCATGCCTGGCGCCTCGCCCTGAGGCAGGGTGGGACCGGTCTTGACCGGGAGGGAGGGAGGGAGGGTCAAGCAAAGCAAAGATGATGTCGGCCTTTGGCTTGGCTCTGGGGTCCTTCTGCACCAGCCGCCCCCTCTGCGGCCTTGGGTGGGGTCCTTTGTGAGTGGATGACCCATGAGTCTGTTTAATAACCGAGTGACCCTGGGGCCCGGCTCTGCCCCCCCTTCTCATTATCCTCTAGACCAACGCTTGAGACTGGGACAGCCCCGCCCAGGGTGGCTCCCCCTCACCTCCCTGCAGATTTCCCATTGTCTTTCTCCACGCACTTGCGCATAACCTTGCCTCTCCTCTGTGCCTCTGTACGATCTGTTCCTGGGCCTGGAATGCCAGCTCGAGCTCCCCTCCCCCCTTGGAATCTTGGCTTGGAAGCCTCATTCACTCTCCCTTCTGCAAGGACGTGACACCTGTCTTGCAGGTTTTTGTATCTTCTTGTCTGAGTATGTGTGCACTGTCAGCTCCCTGAGGGCAGGTATAGTACACGTGTATCCTGGTATTCCCAGGACCTTGCACAGTGCCCGACACGGAGCAGGTATGTAGCAAATGGATGTTGAATTTCATTTTGAGCAGCAGTGTAGGCCCAGCTGATGCAGGGATTGCCTAAACTATTGAAATGCTAAGGCTTAGACTAGCCAGTCAGCCCTGGAGGCCCCTAGCCAACAGGCGTCCCTGGTGTTCATGGCCGTTTAGCCATGGCTTTTTATTTGACCTGTTTGCAAGCATAAGAACTAGGCCCTCCCTTCATCTGTCTACCAAAGGTTCGAGATGTTCCCCAGGAAGATTTTTTTCTTGAGCTAAGGCTTTCTGTTATATAGAATTTATGTATCCTATCCTTAAAGCCTTTCTTTGCTTAAAAGACCCCGTTTTTAGTAAGGAAAAGGGATAGCTGAAGGCAGTGGTGGCCTTGGAGGACAATCTTTCCATAGATGGTGGCTGACTGCCAGCATCTGCCTGAGCTAACTGCCTCTGAATTTCTGTGATCTATGAAGATTGATTTTTTAAAGCAGGAGACTCGTTTATCTGTTTCCATCTTCTCCTCTCAGTGAGAGATTGAGATAAAAGCCTCTGACAACCCCAAAGTCCACCTCTTAACCGAGAGCGTCCAAATGGAATGTCTTTCATCCTAGGGTTTAATTCAATGAACAGAGTCTGGGGTCTGTCGAAATGGGCAAGGAGAAGTCTAGCTGGTGGCCACCAGGCCCCCCGAGGACCATACCGCTCACCAGGCACGACACAGGCTCTCCTTCTCCAGTGGAGAAGGTATCCCCATTGGTCTTGTAGGGGACGCAGAGGTGGGAAGTCAGGAGAAACTTGGGATTGCCTCCAGCCAGGGGTGCTGAGTACAGGCTTCCCTGGGTAACTTGCGTCCTTCCAAGCCTTAGGTTCTTGGTATTTTAGACGGCAGATCATACTTGGAGCTAGAAGGAAGCTAGACGTTCCTCTAGTCCAGCCCCTCATCGTGCAGTGGCCAGGAGCACCTTGCGGGGAGGGGAGTAGCACCCAGCTCCTCTGACTCTCCCTGAAGCTCCTGGAGCCCACGTACCAAAGGAGGGCACGTTTGTCAGCTCACGTCCTCACTGCCTTCTCCCCTTTCCAAACAGGCCGAGTTGTGAACGTCGGAGAATTCTGGGATGTGGTTGTGATAACAGCGGCCGATGAGAAGCAAGAGCTGGCTTATAAGCAGCAGCTGTCCAGGAAGCTCCAGCAGAAGGAGCTCCCCCTGGGTGTCCACTACCATGTGTTTGCCGACCCTGCTGGAGCCAAGATCGGTGGGTTGGCCAAGCGGAGGCTGATGCAGGGTACACTAGGACCTGAGGGGCCTCTCCACACGTGTCCAGCCACAAATGGGGCAAAGTGTTAGTTGGTGTGATGGGAGGAAGCTCAGAGTAGCAGAGAGGGCTTTCAGGACCAAAGGTCTGGAATTGATCTCTGGCCTTGGCCGCTGGCTAGAGCTCTCTGGCCTCCATTGCCCTCTGTAAAAGGAAGAGGGTTAATTCCCAGGGCCCCTTCAGAGAGCTGGTCCATGCTGTGACCTGGCTGCTAATTTCCTGACCTGAGAAGGGAGTCTTTATTTTCAGTCACTTCTCTTCCAGCTGTGAAAGATTTGCAGAATGCTGTTTAAAGGAGAATTGTGTTAATTGAGCCACAGAGTTTTAATGACTTTAAGGCTTTGCTTTGCCCAAGTGGAGAATGCTCCCTGGAGACTTCTCAGGATGGCCATTAAAGTCTCTGTGTCTTCTCCTCCTCCCCCCTGTTCCCCCATGTGCCCTGGGCTCACAGGACAACCAGGCAAAGAACAACCATCACATCTTGGCATAGCATAGATCCCCTTGGTGTTGCCAGGGAATGCCAGCCTTCTGAGGTTTGGGAAGGGAATGAATCTCGCCTGCCCAGGGAACTGTTTCAAGTTAGACATTTGGAGCCAAGGACTATGGCTCCAGAAAGATGGAGACTCCCTCATGGGGGCCTTTATTTATGTTGGGCCAGGCCTGTGATTTCATCCTCAGAGGGAATCCTCAGCGTGGACCTTCCACCTTTACAGAGCAGCCACTCAGTTAGCCTCTTTGCTGGGCTCGGACAGTGAATGGGCGCCCACTGGGGGCAGAACTGGACCCCAGGCTGTCCTGGCTGTCCCTCACTGGCTTCACCCCAAAGGAGTCAGCTTTGTTGTTTAGCTTGTGACCTCCAAGGTTATATTGAGTATATTGAGGTGGGATGGGTGATGTCGTTGACACAGGGGACTCCCAGAAGAAGAACCTCAGTCTACCAAGTTGGGGCAGTGGCTTCCCTACACTTTATAATCTGGGGAAGCTTTGGCAGAGGACTGAGAGGTCGGTCACTTGCTCAAGGTTACACAGGCTTCATATGTCAGAGGCAAGACTTGGGCCCATGTCTTCCAGTCCCTAAAGGCAGCTCCACATTCAGGACACCATGCTGACTCTCAGCCAGGAGTGTACTGGAGGCTCCTTGAACCGCTTACAAAACCTGGTGCTTAAATTTTCATAGTGAGCACTTACACCTTGGACGTTAGAAAATGCTACAAATGAAGGCTGCTTGTGTGGTTCTGTTGATAGTTGAGGCTTAAAGTGATAGAGAACATGTCAGTAATGCAGATGAAATGTAACAGTCTCTGTGTGTGTGTGTGTGTTTACCCCTTTTTTTCCTTTTCCCAGTGCTGGCTGTTAAACATTGACTAGCACTACCTCTTCTCCAAATATGGTGGAATTCTCTTTTGAACTGAATTCATGCAGGCCCTTGTCTTAAGGAGCCTTTGAGGCCCCAGAGTCGTTCTGGGCCCAAGGCCAATGATGGGTTGGAGGGGGCACGACAGTAGACCTGGGTTTCCTGCCCAGCTCCCGCTGCCTCAGTCTGGAGGATGCGGCCCACGCCTCGCAGGACGCAGCCAGCTCATGTCCCCTTGTGTCCTCGTTCTGTCATTCAAGCTGTAGCTGCTGTGAGCTGCTTTACTTTCAGCCACTGCATCAGCAAGCTATTTATCAGGTCCCTGCTGTGTGCCCAGCAGTGTGCTGGAGGCTGGGGGTGCGGATTCAATGAATAAAACCCTGCCTGGGCCTGTATTGTAAATAAAGCTAGTTCAGACTCTTGAGCACATGGCTCCTCTTAGGGCTGAATGCCTGAGGCTGACCTTGTTGGCTTGAAGCCCAGGGCTGGACAGAAGCAACAGCAAGATGGCAGAACCAAGCAGGCATTTTCCTACTACTTTATAAGTTTGGGGTTTTTGTTGTTTGTTTAAAGATTCAAGCTCTTAAAAACTCACTTGGGGAAAACTACCTATGAGAGAAGTGAAGCCTGAACATTGTGTTGTGTTTTGGCGCATTGTTTCTTGTGGAATCTACATGGAGCCTATTAGGATAGATGGGACAGAAAGAAAAAGAGGAGGCCTCAGGGTCCGGAGAATGTGGTTCAAGCCCCACCTCGGGCTCATTCCAGTGGCATCACCCTGGACAAGTCACCTGACTCCTCCCGTTCAAGGGCAGCTCTCCAGAACAGTAACTTTCAGAGAGGAAGAGTCTACCCTGGCAGCCCCCCAGTCCCACAAAATCCCAGTTCCAATAAAAATAAATGTGGGTCTGGGTATGTACATATGCATATGTTCTCTCTGTGTGTTAAGGCATATGTGTACATGCATGCATGCATATATATCCGTGTGTGTACAGCTATAGATTTACATGTGTATATGTATACATAGGGTGTGTGTGTGTATGTGTGTGTGTGTGTATACACACACACACACATACACATATGCACCCACATAGAATCACAGAATGTTAAGCCTGTAAAGAGATCTGGTTCAATCATTTTTCAATCATGTATGATTCTTTCTAACCCTATTTGGGGTTTTCTTGGCAGTGTTTTACCATTTACTTCTCCAGCTCATTTTACAGATGAGGAAACTGAGGCAAATAGGATTAAGTGACTTGCTCAGGGTCATCCAGCTAGTAAGTGTCTGCCGTCAAATTTGAGCTCGAGTCTTCCTGACTCCAGGCCCAGCTCTATCCACTGGTCCACCCAGCTGCCAAAGGGTCCTTAGAGATCATCATATCTAACTAATTCCTCTTACTGATACAGAAACAGAAGCCCACAGAGGGGCAGGAGGTGACTTGCCCCATTCAGTTAAGTCCAATGGCCAGTACAGGACAGAGGCTGAAGTTTGACTTGTATCATCTGGTTACGAACATGTTTACTTAACACTGTGGAATGTTGTCCATCCAGCAGCTTGTCACTTTCATTGTTTTGTAGAGAATACTACCACAAATGTATTATTTTTAAAAGCCTTAAAATCTAAATGTTACAGCCAATGTTAAAATCAGTTATACATGTGTATGCTTATGTGTGTTTACATATATGTGCATGTTTGTGTGTATGTGTACGTGTTTTAATGTGTGTGCAAACACATAAATGTAAAGGTAGACATGGGCACACCTAAATCACACGTAAGGGTCCCTCCTGGCTGCGTATTGATTTAGTTTCAAGATGCCATTACCTGTGTTTTATTATAATTCTATTTCTTTTGCTAACTATTTCCCAGTTAAATTTTAATCTGATTTGGGCTGCACTTGGGACTGTTGTGAGCCGTGTCTGACACCTCTGTGCCAGATGTCTCCTGGTCCTTCCAGCTCCAGATTTCTGCTCCTGGGCTTCTCTTCATCTGTGCGCTATAGCATTTATGTTTCTTGAGGGCAAGGGCTTTTTCTCTGTCTTTTCTATCCCTAGTGCCTGGCACATAGCAGGCAATAAATAAACATTTCTTGAATTGAATTCAGTCTCAATAATATAAAATATAACTTGACTGAAATTGTACTTTCTATTATAAATATATTAGTAGTTTTAAAAATTCATTTGCCAAGACCTTGTGTTCATTTTTTCTAGTGGGTATTTTATGGCTTGAATTTTTGAAATCCTAACGTACTGCAATTGTAGCTCCATAATGGGTTACTTGGATATAAGCTGAATACTTCTATCTTACCTCAATGATTTTAATTTTTTTTTCTTTTCCTTTTTTTAAAGGAAATGGAGGATCAACACTTTGTGTCCTTCAGTGTTTGGAAGAAATATATGGTGATAGATGGAATTGTTTTACCATCCTGTTAATTCACTCTGGTAAAGTCATACTTCACTAATTTATAAGTTTCTTTTGAGTTCTTCACCTTTGAAACCTCAGGAACTTTGTCCTCCCCCTTGGGAAAACTTAGCATTTTTGTGTGTCTTTGAAGTCGCTCCTCTTTGAAAACAAACATTCCGTACACGTCTTGCTTTGATAGTGTCTAATGTCGGAGGCAGCGTGATGTGATTTTCTCGGTTAGAATATTCTTTAGATTGTACATCACGTACTTGGTCATCAACTTTTCATCAGAGATGGCTTTGATCTGGCGATTGAAAGTTACTTTCTTGAGGCTGAGCTCATCAAAATGTCTCCATCTGTTGGGAATGGTCTAGAGAGGATTTCTGCGTTGGGTGGGAACTTGGTGTAAATGCCCTCCAGCATTCGGTGTTGGGTCTGGGCGTGCCAGACTCTGAGGTCAAGCCCTCCCCATCAAAGAAGTCTGGTGGTTGTTGTGGATGTCTTACTTTCAGCCTCAGTACCTGGCACCAGCCGTGGCCCAGACCTGGCCTGCCCCAAAGGCACCATGTCCTCCCTGGCCTCCTCTTCCAGCACAGCTGCCCCTTCACTCCTTCTCCTTGGCGCTTGAGGTGGGGTTGGGATGGGGCAGTTGGACTCCTCTTTGCTCCCCATTGGTTCTCCCAGGATTTCTCCCCAGCCCGTGACTCAGTAACTTCTCTTCCTGTCTACTACCCAATCACAGCCCTGGTAGCTTTCATCTTGAGCCCCCAGTAACTCCCCTTTCTTCCTCAATACGTTCAGTCCCTGGCTTACCATTTCCCTCCCATCTTTAGCTCCTGCCTTCATATGAGGGGACTTCAGAATACGTTTCGACTCTCAAACACCCTAATCGAGTTCAAATCTAGCCTCAGACACTTGACACTTAGTAGCTGTGTGACCCTGGGCAACTCACAACCCTGTCAGCTCCTCAGCCTCCTCCCTTCCCTGAGCTCTTCCTCCACCCCACTTCCACCACACAGAGATGCTCGTGCTCTTGGCTGTGCCTCCCCCCCCCCAAAACGGACCTCCTCTTTGTGCAAAGTCCCTTCTTGTGACTAGATTCAGATGGCCTCCATCTCTCTTCTGCCTTCCCCTTGCCCAGCCTTCCTCTTGACAATCCATTTTCAGTCTTCTTCAGATTATCTTGTGTTCTTGAAAGGCAGGAAGATGTCTTATTTTTAACACACTCTACAATTTTTACCTTTCTTTGACTCAGAGTGTCTTATTTCTACCTCTGCCCCAAATTTACCTGAATCACTGAGATTTGATCACGTCTATGGTTTGTGAGATCATTTCTCAAACTCTTACCCTTTTAAATCTTGTAGCTGATTGTGGATCTATAGCCCATGCAAAGGCTTCTACTTCTTAAGATGTAGGTACAAGCAGATTTTACCAGTTTTTAGCCTCTTGTCTTTTTCTAGACACAGCTTCATCATCTAATTCATTCAGCAAGTATTTATAGAGCCCTTGTTAAGTGTGAGGCCCTGTGCGTGCTCTGTTAGACATTTGTGTCCAAACAGAGCCCAGGCCTGGGGGGAGTTAGAATCTTCTTCCACCTGCATCCTTTGGACTACATCATTTCAAACAAATGACAGAAGATGACTGACTTTCAAGGTCACTTGTTCGTCTTTGCTCTCTGTTTTGACTTAGGCTCCCAATAGAAGAAAGCTACATTGCGTATGGTCAGTATGCTCAAGACCGTTTCAGCCAGTGACTAATCAGGGTCCCTCATTCACTCATTTTCCCTCAGTGTGTCTCTATATTCTTCTTGTCTGGAATGCCTTTTTCAACAATCTCTTTGATTTTTCCAGGTGGCTACAGTCAACGGCTACCCAACGCAAGTGCCCTGGGAAAAATTTTCACAGCTCTGCCTCTTGGTTACCCAATTTATCAAATGCTGGAATTAAAACTGGCCATGTACATTGATTTCCCCTCTCGTATGAGTCCTGGAGTTCTGATCACCTGCGCAGATGATATAGAGCTTTATAGTGTTGGAGACGTCGATTGTCTGAGGTTTGATAAGCCAGGCTTTACTGCTTTGGCTCATCCTTCTGACTTGATGATAGGGACAACTCATGGGGTGTTTGTGTTAGAACCTTCAGGTGGCTCAGAATGTGGAGACCTGGAGTATAGGACTTGCTACCGTTTCCTGCACAAACCCAGCTTAGAAGAGATGTATCAGGCCGGTGCTGTAGGCAAAAAGGGAACCCTCTCCTCAAAGAACTTGGCTGTAGGGGACCTCAGTACTCCTAACTTGCACTCAGACTTTGTCTACACAGATAGTCTATTCTACATGGACCATAATTCAGCCCAAAAGTTACTAGCCTTTTATCAGCAACTCGGGGCCCTAACCTGTGAAATTGATGCCTACGGAGACTTCCTGCAGGCCCTGGGCCCGGGAGCAACTGTGGAGTATACGAAAAACATGGCCAATGTCACCAGAGAAAAGTCGGAGTTGGTCGAAATGAGAGAGAAGATCTTCCATCTTCTCAAAGGGACACCACTCAACATTGTTGCTCTTAACAACTCCAAATTCTATCACATTGGCACGACTCAAGAGTATTTATACCATTTCACCTCAGATAGCACGCTGAAATCTGAGCTTGGCTTACTGTCCAAAGCTGTTAGCATCTTTCCAGGGGGTTCAGAATGTTGCCGTGAAGCCCCCTGTGTCATTCAAAGCATAATAGAATCAGGGGCTTCTGTGGGCCTGGGCTCCGTGGTGGAGTACTCCTGGTTAGGACCTGATGTCGCGGTTGGAGCCAACAGCATCATCAGCGGCTGTCACGTCCTCACTAAAGCTGCCCTCCCCCCCAATTCTTTCCTGTGTGCTCTTAGCCTGCGGGCAAATGGACACTTAATGTACGCCACGATGGCATATGGCGTGGAAGACGACTTGAAACGGAATGTGAAGGTGCTGTCAGACATCCATTCCCTTCAGTTTTCTGGACTGGGGTTCCTGGCCTGCTTAGATCTTTGGGGCTTGAAAGTGACAGAAGGCCTGTTCTCTAGCAGTAGAACCAGCCTCAGTTTATGGAATGCCCGGATCTTCCCCATGTGCCCAAGCTTGAGTGAATCAGTGACGGCCTCCCTTAGGCTGCTGGCTGCTGTGAAGCATGAGTCACCATTCCATCTGACCAGCTACAAGCTCCTGTCCATTGCAGAAATGCTCCTCTACAAAGACGTGGGGGACATGATGAGATGGAGGGAGCGCATTGCTCAGGAAATCCATTTACGGGGGTGCCAGGCAGATGTGTCACAGTAGGTTTGTGGGGTGTTTTCCTCGCATTCAGTTTGAGCAGCCTTGCTGTCAAGGTTGCAGAGCCCAAGAACCCTGGCTCTTTTTTCTTTGTTTCGCTGAAGTAGAAATAATGAAATTGCATTAGCAGTGTTATTGTAGCATAACATTAATAATGCAAAAATACAAATAAACCATTCTTTTGATGAAGGAATTAATGAAATATTTCAAACTTCCAGGTACAGAAAGAGACAGATTTTCTGAGAACATTCATTACTCCATGGGGAGCTTTTTGAATAAGAATTAATGACTATGGACATATTAACTCCATATATTCATGGAAACAATGTTTAAAAAAAGAAAACCCAAGTAGTCATTTTAGCAATGTGTCCTGGCAGATCATAAAAGAGCATTTTATTTGGTATTTTCCTTTTAAGAAGGATTTAGGATTTGTGTAATATTATTTTGACTAAATAATATCATAAATAGTTTTTAATGTAATTTTCCTCAAGGCTTAATTGAGGACTGGAAGAAATAAGTCAACTTTAGAGTCTCTTCTGCTGCTTATAAAGGACATTGGACTTTTGGTTCCAATAAAAGCTCAAAATACTCCTTTTCAAAATACTCCCACCCTGGAATGTAATTTCATTTAGATGAACTAATCAAAATATCATCTCTTTAGGCCTATTAGATTCTCAAGAACCCTCCTAATAACTCTTTATCCTTAGAAACAAAGCTGTAGCTAGAAAATTCAAATTAAATTAATGCTCAACAATCTGAAATTGTTTTAAAGTAAGAATTAACTCAAGGTCTTAGTAGTTCAGCATTTAAGGGAAAAAAATACATACATACATATATATATATATATATATATATGTATACATATATATATGTATATATATATACACACATATATATATACATATATATATATACATATATATATATATATATATATATATATATATATCTTTTTTCCCCCTTTTTATTTCTCAGTTAAGTGTCTGTTTTGTCCAAATGGAAAGGGGCAGCATTTATGTGCTTACATGTATTTTGGACGTATGATTTTATTTGATCTCAGGGAATTCTCCTTTCTATGCACTACATGAAAGATGGTGCTAAGGGATGATGGGTAATTGGAAGGCCCTGATAATCAGCTAACAGGAATCCATCCATTTGTCTCACCTTTTGTTATGAAACCATTTTACACAAATGTTAAGTTACCGAATCGTTTATTGGACCAGTCCCACACTGGTGAAGGTGCTAATCGGTGATAAAATCAGAAGCAGGAAATAAAAAGAAGAATTGACCTGGATAATACACAGAAGGAAAATAAATTTGGGGTATGAGCTCAGGTTACTTAGGTGTTCCTAGTGAAATATGGAAAGACTTTGTATCAAATTATCAGTAAACTTGTGATTTTTAATTACTATGCATCAACCAAAGTAATAAACTAACATGTAACTCTTAAGTCTGCATCCTTGCACCAATAGTTTGTTCACCTGCAGCAGCTCATACACTGTTATGAGAATGGCACATGGCATATGGCATCTCATTGGCAGAGAGGGTAAGGAAGAGACAGGACTTGGTACTTTGGCCCTTGACTGCCTCCTGCCTCTCATCTGCCTACCACCTAGTAAGCAAAAAGTATCTCAGTAGTTCTGTTCCTTCCGTCCTCTATTTCTGGTGACCCAGGAGAACTCGGCTTCCATCCCTTCTAGCTTTGCTTCTGTCTGTGATCTGTCCATGAGCTAAGTAACAGAGACCAAATTGGGTTCCTAGCTGTTCTCTGACATTGTTCTGCCCTCTATGACCTGTCCTCACACAGAAGGCCATCTCCCACGCTTGGAATGCACTCTGCCATCTTCTCTGCCTGTTGAAGTGCTCCTCGTCCTCCAAGGTCTGGCTCACAGCTCTCCCAGTGTCCCAGGCTAAAATGGCTCTCTCTGCCTCAGATTTTTGTCAAGACACTGATTGATCTCTTCTTTGCTCCTGTCACACCCTAACTACTGCAGATCGTACTTGACATGTGTGTGACATCCCTCCACATTTGTACTTGACCCAAAGTTGGAAGAGAAAGGTCACACCCAATTGCCAGATTCAAGATTGAAAAGACAGACTAAAGTAGTGGGCCAAATCAAACAAGAAGTTTAATGGTGATGAATAGAATGTCTTACGCTTTCACAAGTTCAAGAATCACGGGATTTCAGAAAGGTGAAGGACCTCGGGGTCCATCTAGTCCAACTCTTATAATCCCCTGTACAACCAATGTGACGGTTGGCCATGGTGCCATTGATTTCAGGGAGGTGGAGCCCCCTACCTCCACAGTCAATCCCTTCCAGGCTGGAATACTTCCAATCCTTAGGAATGTATTCCTTACATCATTTGTCCCACTGCTCATAATTCTGTCCTCAGACCAAAAAACCCAAGTCTAGTACTTCCTGCCCATGACAGCTTTCAAGCATTGAAGACAGCTATGATGGTCCCTTGCCCTGCCCACAGCTTTCTCTTCTCTAGGCTAGGTAAGCATCCTCAGTCCCTTCAAACCATTCTACTGTGGCACAGACTCGAGACCCTTCTCTAGTCTGGTTTCCCTCCTCTGGATATGGCCCAGCTCAGCCATGTCCTTACTAAAACGTGGGAGCCAGAATCATTGAATGCAATGATCCTGAGGTGGTCTGATCAGCACAGAGTAATGATGATGATTATAACAGCCACAGAGTTGAAAGTTTTACAGATGTTCTCTCATTAGATCGTCATGTGAATTCTAAGATGGGGGCTATTATTCCCATTGTATGGACGAGGAAACAGTATGAGAGAGGATAAAGGATTTGCATAGGGTCCTACAGGGCATATCAGAGGCAACACTGGACCTGGGTCTTCTTGACTCTGAGGCTGACTCATATCATCTGTACCATCTTGCCTTGATGTTTTTTTTAATCACTTAATAAATGATTATCTAACTAAACATTTGAATTGATGAAGACCAGGTTGCTCAGCTGATCTGCTTCAGGTTGCGGGTCATGGCACCTATTGTGTGGGAAGGACCACTTGGGCCCCGTTCTCTTTCCCATGGGCCTGGGGAATAGTGATAGCTAACATTTTTATGATGTCCACTAGGTGCTACTGGGGTTAAGTGCTTTACAATTGTTACCTCATTTGTTCATCACAGCAACCCTAGGCAGTAGGTTCTATTATTATCCCCATTTTATAGTTGAGGAAACTGAGGCAGGCAGAGGTAAAATGACTTGCCCATGGTCACACCTAACTAGTAGTATCTGGGGCTGGATTTGAACTCCAGGCCCAGTGCTGTATCCACTGCACCACCTGACTGTTCCATGTAATACTGCCTCTTCAAAAAAAAAATACAGTAAAACAGTTTCTAGATCTGCTCTTGCTGGTGAACCCCAAGAAATGATACCCCTCATCAGTACATGAAAAGTGATGCTCTTTTTAATCTGTAGCACGCAGGGCATAGAATAAGCTTAGGCCCTTCTGAGGAGCTCCTAGCTCAGATTGGACAAAACCCCCAGAACCAAAGGCCACCATAGTTTACCAGGGAGCTCATTTGTGGTTTGTCCCAAGGCCCAGAGTCAGAGCAGCAGGGAGCCAGACTGAGCTCCCACCCTCCCTCTGTCACTGAGTCTCACCGTCTGTCCTTGGTGACAGCTCACTGTGTTGGGCAAAGCCCAGATCTATGAACGTCACCCACCACTGAGCCTCCACTACCCAGAGTCGTGCAGCCACTTCGGGGCAGAAGCCAAACGGCTCCCCAGCTATTACCATCTGCACAAAATAGCCCAAAGGCCTCCCTGATACATTATTTTATTTCTTTGTTTGGCTGCATAAAAATTCATGTGTTCGTGTCCGCCAAGAACAGAATGATTGACAGTGGGAGATGGAGGAGCCCTCTTAGATTCTCTGAGCCACATCCTCACTGGTGTAAGGGTGGCTGATGGAGGCAACCATTATCTGCTTAGCTGCAATTCATTTTTCTGTGCCTCTAAGGCATGTGGAATTCACCTCTTTCTGTTGAAGTTGAGAGGGCACAAATTTTATCATTTGCACTTGTTGAAATTGCTATAGGGATATTCCTGATGCTGGGGTCTGCAAAAGGAGTTTAGTGTTACCTATTTTAAAACATTTCTTACGCAGATCAGCAATGTGCTGGTCTCCACATCACCTACTAGGGTTTTTCATACTCTGATTTTTCGGTGTGCAGCATTCTCTCCGATTCCAGGCAGAATGATTCCTCGACAATAGGGAGAAGAAGAAGAGCACCCAGCTGTCTGTCAGGGGAGCTGAGCTCTAGCCACAGCCCTGATGGAAAGAAGCTGTGAGACCTCAGCAAATGTTATCCTGAAGCTTATTTGCTACGTCTTTATATGTCTGAGCAGATCTGACAGTGTTCTTCCAGGACCACGTCCATGCTTTTCTATTTACCCTTGTATTCATCCTCCATGCGCATGTCCACCATCATCTTGCCCCAGGAAATGTTCGCTTCCTGGGAGCTCCACGATGGGGAGAATCCTCATCTGTAGCTTCTTCCGCTCTGACTGATGGGCAGAGCAAAGCCTCCCCCCAAAGCTCCTATTGAAAGCTGGCTCAGAGCCCGGCTGCTCCCTACCACAGGCAAGCCTTGGATCCAACTCTACCTTCCCAGCCCCTTTTTTGTGTATTGCCTTCCCCTAATTAAAGTGTAAGCACCTTGAGGGTAGTGACTGTTTTTTCTTTTCTTATTTTGTAGTAGTCACTTAATAAATGTCTGTTGAAGTGAATTGAATCAGGTATGAGTGTTTTAAATCAAAGTTGACTGGTGAACTTTAGAAGTACAACCATTGGTCTCTTCAGACAACTCTCTTTCATGTTTCCTATTAGAATTCATTCCCTTTGAGTCTCCAGAATTTTACTTTTGAGAGTTTCCCATCCCTCCTTGTCTAATATCCCCTATAGAATGTTAGTTCCCGAGAACCTTCTTATCCGTTCTCTGAATCATTTGAAACCTGTTCTCCCCAAATCAGACTATATATAGCTTCTCTCTCTTCTATCACAAACCCCAGGAAAGAAGAATAACTTTTCCCCAAGATTCCTTTTCTTTTCACCACAGTTCATCACCATTACAAAGAACCCAGTCCATAGATTTACCCTTTATTGATTTCTTCACCTTTTCCAATATGAAATTATTATCAAAGCAAGGTAGGGAACTATTA